GAATTGAGAAAGGCGCCAATCCTCATCTCAACTAGGCTACTGCCTTGGTCGGCTTCTGTGACTTCCTCAGCCGGGAGCATAACCTCATCGTCCCGTCTCACATCGTGGAGACGTATCAGCGGAGGGTGAGGAACTGTACGAAAGAGGTCGATGGCGTTCCTCTTCCGCAGCTCAGGAATGAAGACTTCACTCTTCTGAGCGATGCCGACCTCATCCCGAGAATCGAGCTTCCACCGGGGACGCAAGTTCCAGAAGGCTTGGACCAGTTCGGCTCGAACTCCAAGTCCATCTCGGCTGACCGGACAGCGAGTTTGAAGAGTCCAGCTTCTGTTGCTCGCCAGTAGATTCCTTAGTTGTTTTTCTTATGTTGTTTTAAGTTGTATAGCTATCTTACCCATGTAGCTCGGGTTTTATCTTATTGTTTTGTCGCCAGCTTTGGCGTTATATTGTTGTCGTCTATCTCGGAAATTCCGGATATTTTATTGGAATGAATGCAGATATTTCTACACAGCTTTTTACTTAGAATTTTCTTTCCTCTTATTGCGTATTTTATTTGCGAACTGTTGGGAGTTCGGCTTGTTTTCCTTAAATTGGAGAGTTCGTGCTGCTGTGATGACGATGCGAACGAACTCGGGGAGCTTTTCCGAATTTGAGTCTGGGTTGACGGGTCGCTATTCGGAAGAGCGAGTGCAGATTGGGTTCCGACTTTAAGTGATGGAGCATCATGGGGATGCGGACGAGACTGATCTCAGCTTTTGAAGTTGTATTCGTGGGGAATATTTGGATCGATCTCTTGGCCGGGGAGTCGATGTGTGGAGTTAGTGTTTGAAAAAGATGGATTTTTATTGGATTTGTAGCTGGACTCGAAATCGAGTTGCGTACCCTTTTGCAAGGGTTCAAGCCACTCGTAGTTCAGTTTACAAGGGTGAATTTTGCTAGAGCTGGACTGGTTTTTTTTTTTTTTTTTTTTTTTTTTAGGGCGCTGGTGGCGCTAGAGGGATGGGTCCAAGCTCGGGGTGGCTGAGACTTAGCAGTAGTATCGTTTCAGGTTGGCCGAGTTCCATGATCATGGGATCGGCGTTCCGTCGAGCTGCATGAGTTCGTATACTCCAGGCTTGACGATTCTCATTACTTGATATGCGCCTTCCCAGTTCGTGCCCAGCTTTCCTGCATTTAGCTCCTCGGTGTTATAGAATACTTTACGCAGGACGAGGTCGGCTTTCGTCGAAGTGCCGAACGCGCACTTTCTTGTTGTAGTACCGAGCGGCGAGGCGCTGATAGTTTTGGATTCGGAGGAGAGCTAGACATCGTTGTTCTTCCAAGGTATCAAGGTTGTTGATCATCATCTCGTCATTCAGATCGAGGTTCTCAGGGAGCCTGACATATCTTAAGGTCGGGATGCTAACTTCGGCTGGACAGAGGGCTTCGTTTCCGTATGCCAAAGAGAAGGGAGATTTTCCGATCGATCGTCGTGGAATAGTTCGATGCGACCATAAGACTCCATCGAGCTCATCCGCCCAAGTGCCTTTCTTAGCCTCGAGACGCTTTTTTATACTGTCCAGGATGTTCTTATTGGTCGCCTCGGCTTGCTCGTTGCCTTGCGGATAGCGCGGGGTCGAAAAACTAAGACGAATTTTAAATTTTGCGCACCAATCGTTGAACGTTCCTGCAATATATTGTGGTCCGTTGTCCGTGACGATCTCGTGCGAACCCCGTGTCGGCTAATGATGTACTTCTATACGAATTTTTGAACGTCAAGTGCGGTGATCTCGGGGTACGCTTCGGCTTCGCCCCATTTCGTGAAATAATCCGTCATGACTAGGATGTACTGCTTTTAACTTGTCGATCGACATAGGGGTCCGATGATGTGCATGGCCCATCGCATAAAGGGATAAGGCGCCGTACCGGTTTGCAGTAGCTCGGTAGGCATATTGATCATTGGGCCGTGTCGCTGGCACTTGTCGCATTTCATGACGAACTTCTCGCAGTCTGCGCTCATCATCAACCAGAAATAACTGGCCTTTTTAATTTTCAAGGCAAAGGACCGTCCTCCCGAATGATTGCCACCGGATCCTTCGTGGATTTCGTGCATGATTTCGACTATATCGTTTCTGCTAACACAGGCGAAGAGCACTCCGGATGCGCTTCATCGGTACAATTTATCTTTATGCATGGTGTAGTGGGTGGCTCGGACTTTAAGGCGGTGAGCGGCCCATTTGTCTTCGGGAACTATTCTGTTGAGGAGGTAGTCTCGCAGCTCGGCTGTCCAATCTTCGTCGAGCTCGTTTCCCCCGTTCTCATTCGTTGATGGGTTATGGATTCCTTCGGTTATGTGCTCGAAATCGTGGTTGTCAATTGGATCTTCGGGAACCTCTTCGGCACCCTCGCTCGTGCGTGCCGGGTTCCTTCGTTGCGTTTTTGGCGGGATCGGGTTCGGGTTATCGTCGTAGTTCCGTCGTCGAGTGGCAACGTTGCATCTCTGTATGGTTTTGATGCTTGGCTCTGAGATGCTCTCGACCGGGATTTTTTCTCTTCATGTGTGGGTCGGAACTGGAGGCCAGAGCGGCTAAGGCATCTGCTGACGAATTCTCTCCGCGAAGGATTTTTGTGAGTTCGAACGTTTCAAACCCCGAAATGAGCGCTTAAGTTGCTTTCAAGTATGCATCCATTCGATCGTTTTTGGTCGTGTACTCGCCACTTAGCTGGCTTGCAACGAGCTGCGAATCGCAAAAGGCGTGCAGATGTTTTACGCCGAGCTCCTTGGCTAGTCGACGTCCGGCAAGTAGAGCCTTGTATTCGGACTCGTTGTTGGATGCGGGGATTTCAGGCGAATCCCGACACCCGATCCTCGGTGCGATGACGATCCATCAACGTGCAATGTCCACAGTTCGCGGGGCGGCTGTTCGACAACGAATTCTTTAGGGAGCTCGATCAGAAAATCGGCCAGTACTTGGGACTTTGCACTGGTTAGATTCTTATATTCAATGTCGTAATCGCTTAGTTCGACGGTCCATTTTGCGAGGCGACCTGACTGGCTTGGACTGTGCAGAATGGTGCGGAGCGACTGGTCGGTTAGGACGGTGACAGAATGAGACTGGAAGTACGGTCGAAGCTTTCGAGCAGAAACCACCACTGCGAGCGCCAATTTTTCTAAGGTTGGATATCTGGATTCGGCGTTACTTAGTGACTTGCTGACATAGAATATTGGACGTTGTTTTCCCCTGTCTTCTCGGACTAGAACGCTGCTAAGAAAAGCGTTTCACCGGTCTCGGGCTTGGCTAAGATCGAGGGGGTCGAGAGATACGTTTTCAGCTGCTTGAAGGCGTCTTCGCACTCCGCGCTCCAAGTATGATGCTTGTTACCTCGTAACAATTGGTAAAACGGCAAGTACTTGTCGGTCGATCTGGAAATAAACTTGTTCAGAGCGGCGATTCGACCTGTGAGCTTTTGAACTTCCCTTTTTGAAGTCGGGGAAGGTAGGTCCAAGACTGCAGATATCTATTTAGGGTTGGCCTCAATACCGCGCTCTGTAACGAAATAGCCGAGGAACTCTCCTGCTGTTACGCCGAATGTGCACTTCGCGGGGTTGAGTTTCATCCTGTACTCGTTAAGGATATCGAAGCACGTCGATAGGTGCGCTATGTGGTCCTTGGCGTGCAGAGACTTAACCAACATGTCGTCTATGTATACCTCCATCGTCGTCTCGAGCTGACTGGCGAACATACGGTTTACGAGTCTTTGGTACGTAGCGCCTGCGTTTTTGAGGCCGAAAGGCATGACTTTGTAGCAGTAGATTCCCCGATCTGTGATGAACGAAGTTTTTTCCCGATCATCCGGATGCATCAGTATTTGGTTGTACCCCGAGAAGGCATCCATGAAAGATAACAGTTCGTTTCCGGCTGTCGCTTCAACCAAACGATCAATGTGGGGTAGTGGGAAACTGTCTTTGGGACATGCTTTGTTCAGGTCGGTAAAGTCGACGCAGATCCTCTATTTTCCGTTCTTTCTCTTCACGACTACCAGGTTTGCTAACCAGTCCGGATACCGAACTTCCGTGATCGAGTCGGCTTTAAGTAATTTCTCATTCTCATCATTGACTGCCCGTGCTTTCTCGGGTCCGATCTTGCGTCTCTTCTGTTTGATCGCTTTGTAAGTTGGATCGATATTTAGTTTGTGGCAAGTGATATCTGGGTTGATTCTTGGCATGTCGCTGATGGACCATGCGAATGTTCCGACGTTTTTCTAGTGGAAACTGATGAGCGCTTCCCGAATGTTGTTGTCAAGTTTGGCCCCAATACCGACACATCTTTCTGGGTCCGTCGGGTCGATGCCGACCTGTTCGACTCGGCTCTGCTTTGGTGGACCGAACTGACTAACTGCGGCCGCGTGGTCCTCCTGAAAAGGGCTGATGACGCATGTTCGCGCAAGGCTGAGTTTGCATTCGGTAAGGTGACACAATCGCGATGCGGTCTGGCTTCCTTTGAGGGTGTAGATTCCTGACAGGGTCGGAAACTTAACACATTGATGGAATGTCGATGCGACAGCTTTCATGTCGAACAGCCAAGGTGTTCCCAAAATGGTATTGTATATCGCCGGCTTGTTGAGGACCAAGAATTTGATCATCCGTGCTGATCCACCGACATAGATTGGTATCTTCACCGTTCCGACTGTTCTAGTTTTCTCTCCGGTGAAACCGGCTAACGACTCCATGTAAGATTTGATTTCGGAGTCCAGGAAATCCATATTATTGAGCGTTTCTTTGAATATGACGTTTACCGAGCTTCCGGTATCAATAAGTATTCTGCTTACTTCAACATCTCTGAGTTGAAGTTCGATGACGAGGGAATTGTTATGAGGCATATGCACTCCCTGTAGGTCGGCATCTGTGAATAATAGTGGTACAGTGGCTACCGTTGTCTGGGGTTGCGCACTCGATGCCTGCCGGCTATACTCCTTCAGTGCTCTGACGGAGTAGTTGCATGATTCGAGAGCTCCCATGATCATGTTGACCTTCTTCCTGGTTTTTGGAATGTTCGTTTCTCGGTTAGGCGCTTCGCGGTCTCGTTTAGGGGGGGTGGTCTGCTCATCGTCGGACTCGGCTGCCTTCGCAGTCTCCTGGTTGCCGGGTTTGTTTTGTCGCGGGTTCGGCCGTCGGGGTCCGGGCTTAGGCAAATCCGCGGTGGCGACCTCCCCCTTGCGGAACTGTTGAAGTAAGAAGTCCTCAAATGCTGGCATTCCTCCGTGCTATGCCCATATCGCTCGTGATACTCGCAAAAACGTTCACTCAGCGGTGTATCTTCCTTTCTGTGCCATGTATTCCAAGACTTTGGTGGCCGTCCTGACTTGTGGTTTGACGGTCCGGCCTGGTTCACTACCCCGCGCTGCCTGCTGGACTGGGCTTTTGTTTCAGAGTTCTCTTTGACAGCCAAGGTTTGGTCGGGCTTTGACGCTGAATACTGCCGATCTTTGGCGGCTTCCTCCTCTTCTTCCGGGATGAAAATGTTTGATTTGTGAAGCGCGTCCTCCAGAGTGAGTGGTCTATTCCTGTGAAGTTCCTTGTGAAAGGGGGATTTGTACCACGTTTTCTGATATAACGCTTCGAGGGAGGCTTCGTCGTCCACTGTGCAGTGTGCCACAATCTGCTTGAACCGTGCCATGAAGTCTCGGAGTGACTCGGTTTCGCCTTGTGATGTTTCCCACAGCTCGGGGTTACGTGTTTTTTGTCCGATGAACATTGAAAAATGCTTCGCAAACTTTGTCGATAGCTCTTTGTAGTTGTCAATGGAGTCGGCTTCCAATCTCGAGAACCAGTCTAGTGCGATGCCTTCAAGGTGTTCGACGAACAATTGGCATTGGATCGCGTCCTTCTGTTCGGCCGAGGTGAACTTGAGTCGATTGATTACAATGCCGAACGACGTGAGGAAATGTCTTGGATCCGAGTTTCCCTCATACGAACACAGTTTGAACTTTTCTAGATTGGGGACGGGAACGTTGGTAATTCGGGAAGTGAATGGTGTTTTCTGATCTTCCTGGATTACGCGGTCGATTTCAGGTGCCGAGCTGGTGGCTTGGTGAAATTTAGAACTGATCTCTCGCAGTTGGGCTTGCATCCGCTCGATTTCTAGGTCGCGCGCAGTCGGCTGAGCGCGCGCTTGCTGGGATGGGCTTTCGAATTGTTGCTGTATTACCGACCGTGCCGCTGTGTGCTGCGGGTCTCGCTCTCCCTGAAAGTCGCTGATGAGGTTTCATCGTCTAAGCGGACTCTCTTGTTGCAAACTAGAGATCTGTGCGGTAAGAGTCGTGAATTTGGCATCGTTGCTTCGGACCAGTTCCTGCATTTGAGCAGCGAAAGCGTTCATGAGTGTGGTTGGATCGAAGGCAGCTGTCGTCGCATGGCGGGCTTCAGCGCTCGAGCTTGGTTCCGCTCTATTCTGTTGCACATCAGGTTGAGGTCGCACAGAGCTGCGAACATCTTCGCCTGTATGTTCTCCGACCTGGGTGGGATTGTCTTCATAGATTGTTACGTGACTTCCGACCTAGACCGAGGTCGGTTGTCTCTCGTCAGTTGTCATCTTTTCAAGGTCGATTACCGAATCGGCCCCACGGTGGGCGCCAATTGTTGATTGTTGTTCTCAACTATTTAGGGTCGGTTCGGTAATTTGAGTTCGGAAGATTGATTTTATTTAATTAAGTTTCGAGTTTACAGTTCGTTCAGTTCGGAGGTCTCTCGACGAATTAGATACAATTATATTGAGGTCTTTATGTCTCCGGGTCCGAAAAAGATCCCTTCTACAGTAACGAGCCTTCTATTTATAGTACATTAACGAGGAGAAGATTTAGAGCTTCCCGTCGACTCTCATTGCCTCTTGTCGCTGGGCCTATCTCCCTGTAGACTATGCTACCAAGCCAGACCTATTTCGACTAAAACTATTATAAACCGAGATCAATTGGTCCAATTTCGATCTTTAACCAGTCTGAACCGGTAACGGAGCGTACCTCCAACAAGTTCATTTACAACATTTAACTTTGTAACGAAAAGTATTTAACTTTTTTGCAGTGAAATGTATTCGAAATTGTAAATAAATTAAATTATTTTTTGGTGCAACTTAATGAAATCATCGCTGCTGATCGTGCATGTTTTGTAGCTATTTAGTGCCACCATGTAAAATAACATATGATATTAATGAATACATACTTGATAATGTCATCAGATAAACGATATAATACTATATTTTTCGTTAAAGGATGATATAATATTATATAAAATAACATGTTAATATTATATAAAATAACATGTTAATACTATATAAAATAATATGTTATCAAATATAAGCATGCTATCATAAAAAATCTTTTAGTGAATAAAAAATATGTAAATGTTTATATCAGACTCGAAATTATTACTTTTTGTAGAATGAAAATGTAATTTTTCCTTACCTATTTGAGGTTGCTTTCGGAAAAACAAAATACTTTTGAATCTATCAATCATTTTTTTAGTATACCTTTCAAATTTGAACTATTGTTTTAGACATTTTTGTGTATGTTTTTCAGTCAACGCAAAATCATTTGACTATATGCTATAAATCGCGTATTTTTAGTCCACTTGAGAAAAGTAAAAATGGATCCAAAGATTGGAAGTTTGGAGGAGTGTACAGCGTGTAATATAAGAAGACACGTGGCAAAAGGAGGAGAGAGACGTGCTCCACAGGAAGGGAACAACAAAATCTGTCTACAAACTTCCCAGCAAAAAGTGGGTCCCGCCTCCTAACAGCTTTCCCACTCTAACTGATTCGATCTTCGTTTAGTAGAGTGAACGGCTGGAATTCTCGGGGTCCCACATATTCTCATTTTTATTTTTATTTAAGAATTTTTTGCATCATAACTCGAATTTATGCAAGTTTTTGGATATTTTTTAATTGATTAGCAATTTTCGATTTTGACTACAATTTGAACGAGGAATGAGATGCGGTTTTGTGGAGATTTGTGTTCAAATAACGATGGTATATTGAGTCGTGCCGATCAAACAAGTCGAACAAATAAATGAAACAAGTATGATTAGTGTGAAATGGACAAAATAAATATAAATTTATTAATACTCAATTGGGTTGAGTTAGAAACCAATAATAAGTTTATATTTGATATAGTATTAGAGTTTTTGTGTGGATGTTGTTTTAACAATAGTTCACATTTCAGATGTACATGTGAGCGTGAGAGAAATCTTATTTTTACAATAAATAATTTCTTAAATAGAATTTAAAGGAGATGAGCCAATTCAGTTATTCTCATTTGATTTTTATCCATGATAAACTTCTATTTAATATGCTACCAAAATCAGAGCACACATTGATCAATCATAATCGAAATTGATCGGACTCATGAAAAATGTATGATCGTAATTAAAATCGGTCTAATCTAAATTAGTCTGAAATTAATTTTATATTGAATTATTATGAAGATTAATAGTTAGATGAGCTACTATCTTTTCAAGATGTATTAGAATATTCTTTTTTTTTTGAATGAATGTTAAATTTTATTCAAACCAAAAAAAAAACAGTGTTTCTACATCAAAAATGCAAGCGATAAGGCATAAAAACTAGTTACAACACAGTTTTTTAATTGTATAAGCTTAATTTCGCAAAGCTGGCCGAGATCCAAACTACCTTTGCAATCCATCATCGTATCTGGTATCACCCAACAGACGTATGGAACTGAACCTGTTGCGAAGCCCTTTATCAATAACTTTGACTAATCTGATCCAGTCGTAGGAGGATAACCGTGCCTACGAGCATTTCTTTCTCTCCAAATTGCGTAGATGGTTTGCTGAAAGAGATATCTAACTATGAACAGATCCACCTTGTTCCTCTGAGCTCTCGAGATTCTGTCAACAAATGTCTGCCACTCTGTTGAGAAATCATGAGGCATAATCCCCTTAGCTAGATTCGTCCAAACCCTGTTAGAGTAAGGGCAAGAGAAGAACAAGTGATCACGTGTTTCAACCGGTAGACGACAGAACACACAATCCACTTGTGCGTTTGAGTTCCAAGCTCGCGTACGATCACCGGTAGATAAGCGATTATGCAAGGCTAACCAAACAATAAAAGCAAATTTAGGCGTGTGGTGTTTGAACCAAATCCCAGCAAACCATGGAACCTTCGGCGAATGCTGAGAAAGCAGGTCCCGAGTTGTGCTGGTGTTAAACGAGGTTCTATACACGTTTTCCCTTGATTTCCACAAATAGACATCCGGCTCTGTTTCGCGATACCTCGCACGAACAGCTTCAATCTCATCTTCAACGTTATTTAGCAGTTGGTTTCGGTGTCGCCTCCGTCGATGCGTAAAAATCACATCCTCGATAGTTGAAACATGAGAGATTCCTAAATCAACACAGCCTCTGGCACCAAAATTTGATAAGAGATTACCCAATGATGACCAACTATCATACCAAAATAACGCCATTCGACCATTTTTAACATCAACTCTTAAAAATTTCTCAGCCAAGGTTCGACTTTTAAGAATTTGCTTCCACATCCAGGAACCTGGAGATTGATTTGTTGGATGTGGATTTAACCAAATGGAGCCACCTCCCAGAAGATTTACCGATGTCCATCGAACCCATAACGAGTGCTTAGCTGTCAAGATCCTCCACAGAAGCTTCAGAATACTAACCTCATTTGCCACATTGAGATTTTTGAGACCAAGACCTCCCTCTTGCTTTGGCTTACAGACATTTTCCCAAGATATTTTTGCTTTCCTCGGATTAAGATCCGGACCAGACCATAGGAAACTAGAGCATATACTGTCGATTTTTTCGATACAGCCCTTTGGTAACCTAAACACTGACATCCAAAAATTGACAAGGCTCGTGACAACAGAGGACAAAAGCTGTAATCTACCCGCAAAAGAGAGGTTACGGGCTGTCCAAGTACCAATCCTGCTCTTGATCTTGTCGATAAGCGAAGCATAATCTAAGGATCTCATTTGCTTTGTGAGAAACGGGAGACCCAGATATCGAACAGGAAGAGACCCAATCTCAAATTGAAATCGCTGTCCAATTTCATTACGAACTGAATCCGCCACCCCAGCTAGATAAGCCGTAGATTTCTCCAAACTTATTTGTAAACTCGATATTGTCGAGAACTCCTCAAACACCCCAACAATTCCTTCCACCGATGATAATTTACCATCCGAAAAGATCATGAGATCATCTGCAAACCCAAGATGAGTGAGTCTAGTATTCGAGCACCTAGGATGGTAACCGAACTTCCTCTCCATAGCAGCTTTATCCAACATGTGTGAGAGCACATTGATACAAATAACAAATAAGTATGGAGAAAGAGAACAGCCCTGCCGCAAACCTCGAGAACTACCAAAATAACCAGCTAAATCACCATTCACCTGAACCGAGAAAGAGGCAGTCGAGATACATAATCGGATCCAATGAATGAAGTCCGACGGAAGATCAATTGCCTCTAGAACCGTAAGAAGAAAACTCCACTCTACCGAATCAAACGCCTTAGAGATATCAATTTTCAGAGCGTATCGCAGCGAAATCGAATTTTGATGACACCCAGCTACCAGTTCAGACGCAAGAAGCACGTTTTCGATAAGAAGACGATCTTGTACAAATGATGATTGGTTTGGAGCAATAAACTGAGGAAGAATTTGCTTCAAACAATTCGCTAAGACCTTGGAAATAATCTTGTAAAGCACATTGCAACAAACAATCGGGCGATAGTCCTTCATATGCTTAGCTTGTTCTTTCTTAGGAATCAGCGCAAGGATTGTCGAATTGACCCCTTTCGATAAAAACCCTTTAACGAAAAAGGATTGAATAGCAATCACAAGATCCTGACCAATTACCGACCAACTTGCCTTGAAAAATTCCACTGTATAACCATCTGGACCTGAAGATTTTTTTGCTGCCATCGCAAAGAGCACAGCTTTGATCTCAGCTTTTGTGACTTCCATGGTAAGATTTTGTTGATCCACAGGTGAACAGCGATAATGAAGTAACTCCCTTATCGCGTCAACACTAACTTCTTGAAAATCTGCTGGCCGATGGTTCAAAAACGAATGGAAATGATTTACCGCCTCCTCCTTAATCTCATTG